ACATAGTTAAGACACCTGTATAGAAAAGGGTCAGTCAGGTTAGTAGAAAGCAGCACTCAATTTAGTGTAAATGAAATAGCTATAAAATACATTTTTTTAGATATCACACACACACACACACGCACATATATATAAATCACATGCTATATAAAACATGCTATATAAAATTGTGACTCAAACTGTATTAATGACTACCAACCACTCATAATTTTACTTTTGAGGGAAATTAAATCAAGATATAAAACCTAGAACCAAACAGAGATTGCTGAAATGTCAAGTTTCACTTCTGGATTTAAGTAATTATAAACTCCAGTATTTTAAAATGAACCTGCATTGTAACAGCCATGCGAGTTAAGGCAAAGTCTTCCCAGTTCTGCCATCTGTATGGTTAAGTGGTTCATGAAGCACAAGTCCTTTTGCAGGTATCTTTTGGGATTAGCATGGGACAGGTATTTCCCTAAATCAGGAAAATTAAAAACAGCATCACAAAGACTGCAACCGCTGCAGTCAACGTGTTGCAATGTGGGCAGGGGGAAGCAGCAGCTCAGAATGGAGACAAACCACACTGACCAGAAAGGATCAGTCTCCCACTCCCTCCATCCACCATCCCCTCTCTGCTGAAGACGGCATCACCTTGGATCGCAGGATACCCCACGGCTGCAGTTACAATGGCCACCACGAAGGCAGAGCTGTTGTGTCCAAAGGCAAGAACATCCCAGGAGACCATGCTGCTGCCTTCCCAGCCCTGCTGGGACCTGGGGCCATGGCCACAAGCAGCTGAGCAAAACCTGAGCTGGCGTAAGGACCAGGAGAGCCAGGGATCTCAGGGAAGGACAGAACATGGCGGCAGCAGAGGTGAACGCTTCTGTCACTAGAACTGAATGCACACAGGTCCTCCATACGTTAGAACTCCGAGTCTTTTTCAAAGTCGTCGTAAAGATTACACAAAAGCTGACTTTTAAGAGCAAGAACACTGAACAGGCAGCCTAGAAAGAGCACAAAAGGAAAGAATACCACGCATCATAAAACACAAAAGGTAACCGGAAAGGTTACATCAATTCCTAAAGAGAGGTCAGATCTCTATGTACATGAATCACCTGAAGAAATTTTCCATTTGCAAAAGATCACGGTGACCGTGGGAGGCCGGGACGATCCCCACGACAGAGCAATTCAAGAAAGGTCACGAGCGTCGCCTCAGAAGCAGCAGCATGGCAGGAGTCTCATTCAGCCTCTGCTGTCACGTGGCCACCATCGCTTACCCCCAGTGGTGGGAAGCACAGAAATAAGAGAAACCAGGGAGCAGTTTTGTTCCAACAACCTAGCGCCTTACTTGAGCAAGGCCTGACAAGCAAGGCAGAGAAACCCGCATTAGTCAAAAGCATGGGAGAGCAACCCCTGGGAGCACTCTCCAGCATCACCAAAAGCACGGACAAGCAGATGTTACTTTTCTGTAAGAACGTAAGCAGTTTCCTCACATCGCACAGCTTTTTCGAAGGGTTCATCCATCCGAACGAAGGCGCATTCTTGTGTAAAGCTCCACATGCACCAACAAGTGTGAAACACCCCCACGTTGAAGAACCAGGCCCCAGACCACATTCCCATCTCCCCCTCTGCCCAGGAGGCCACCACGCACAGCTCTGCCTACCAGTGACCGGCAGGGACGATCGCCTCGGCTTGTCTGGGCTGACACCGCTCCTCTGGCACTGCCAACGTACATCGGATTTATCACCCCAAAGCACAGATAAATATTTCAAACACACTTGTTGAGTAATTTCAACTTAATTTGCTGAATAAAATTTAATTTTATTTAAAAAATCTTATACACTATTATTCACCTAGCCCTAGTTGTGAACAGATTCTCACTTCTGAAAATAAACCACATTCTAGTCAATTCATTCAACACCAAATTAAATTACTAGTACTGGATTTTTTTTTCTTAAAAAAAGTATGTTAAAACTTTACTTTTTTTTTCTTTTTAAAACCTCTAAAGAAAATGTTGCAATTTTACAGAAATGTTTCTTTTCAGGTTATGCTCTTTTCTTTTTTAAAAATGCCTGTTATAAATTCAGCTTGTGTAGAGTTTTTTTCATAAGTTTTTAATATGTATTATCTGCAGAGACATTGTAACAGTTCCATTTTGTGGATGAACACAAAACTTGTACAGATTTCTCATATTTGGTCTTTAGGTAAATAGTTCCCAAAAGCTGCCTAAATAAACCACTCCAAACTGTTCAGTCCATCATGAAAACACAGTTTTTCCTTTCGTAGTGGAAAAGGAAAGATAAATAATGCATCGTTACTACAGAAAATGACAAAAATCAGATTCAAAGTAAGCCGACTACCTAGCTCTCACTCACCTTACTGCATGAGGAAATAAGACGTTATGTGAATTAAAGACTGAACAGCAGCCTTAAGTTTAGATTTAATTTTGAAATGTAAAGTGGAATCTATTACCACAATTAAAGTGAGAAATTACCAATACATTTTAAAATGTTCAACTGCAGAACACACACTTAAAAAAAATATTATAATAATATGGTAGCCACTGTTAGAAAACCACAACAGCTGCTCTCAATGGAGACCCCGAAAGGCCAGTGTATGACATCAAAAGTGTTATGGAGAAACTGGTCAGATTAATTTCTACCGATGGGTGCTTAAGCTTAAAAATATCGAATATACCTCTGACAAGATAATTTTACTCTCTTTTTAAAAGGACTCATGATAAAGAATTTCATCTTTCTAAATGAAGAACAGTCTGTTATCTTAAACATACACAATATTAAGCGAGACTCTTGTTTTACTTTAGACTGGAAAAATATGCCAGGGACAGTCAAAGTCAACACAAAGTAACAAACAGCAAAAGGTAGCAGAAAGAGAAACAGATAAGTGCAGCTCTGGTCAAATTCATAGCAGTTCTTTACGTCAGTTAACGGCTCATTTACATTGTAATTTCTAATCAGTTACATGCAAGCCCAAAGAAGCATTTGATCACTACACATGGTAATAAAATTTGATTAAATTTATCAGGCAACTGCTAAAATATGAAAATTTGCAGATGTAATAAAGTAGCTTTATCTGAACTTTAACAGGACAGACAAAAGTAAATCATTCCGTTGGTTAAAAAAACCCTACATTCAGTTTTTTACCAAACAAAATTTCACATGAAAAGTATTGTGTGATTCCAAAGTTTCCGGAGTAGAAATGGAGTGATTTGAAATGTCAAAGACCCCATTATTTTGCAAAGAAATGAAAATACACCTCAAAAATTTCTAATTCCACATGTGAACAACAAAATACTGCATATCTACCAACAACTGCATCGGGTAGGTCGTTATGAAAGGCTAGCTGCCAAGATGGAGGAAATGGCTCCTTGCCTCTGTTCCCTTTAAGGAATATACAATCGTTTGAAACCAGTTCACACTAAGCGCTTATCATGCTGCCGTTACACTGAGATACTCAGTCCTTAAAATAATCTGATAAAGATTTTTTTAAAGCTGCAGCCCTCCCCAACACTGTATTTCTCAGTGTGCACAGTTCAGTAGGGGGCAGGGAGGAGCGGGGGTCACAGCCTCTGGAACAAGATGGTTTGCAGTTTGACTTTAAATTACCAAGTTTTAAGGCCACCTGTGTTGGGTATTTTTTCAGTGCTGAAAGTTGAAGTCTGATCACAGGGCCCCTTTCCCCACTGCGTGAGAACATGTTCCAACATTTTAGGTGTTATATTTAAGTGTCTCCTTTTGGCACCATGGAGTTTATTTAAAAAAAAAAAAAAGAAAAGAAAAGAAAAGAAAACTCCCCTAAGTTTCTAGTTCTGGCTGCCTTTATCACTCACTGCCACAGATGGGGTGTCCACGTTAACAGCTATGACTATGCTCTCTCCGTCTTCTGTTTTGATACGTTTCAGTTCCTGCTGTTCTGACTGGTCTCCGTTCTGGCGCTTTGTCGGAAGAGATGCCGATGCAGACGCATGGGTTGCCAGCATATGCAAAGGACTCGCAGCAGCTGTAAAAGGATAATAAAAACTTCAGTACCCTAAATCCCTGTCAAAACAGACAACGCTGAAAGTGAACTAGCATTTCCCTTAAAATGCAGAATTCCTTTATCTGTACTACGTGGGGTATTAGCAATCCCAATTGAGACTCAGGTCCAATCGTTTAATCTTTGTACAAACCTAAAATACATTTTCCCAAGTCACTCAACATTCACACAGATTTGGACAAAGGAGGGAGAACGGGGAGGGATCTCCATTTTGCCAATGGGGAGCTGGAAACAGAGAAAGATGAAATGCCTGAAAGCCAATCTACACCGTAATTTGTGACAGAATTGGGAAGCGAATTCAAAATCTCCTTTCAGCAAAATCTGGCCTTGCCTATGGATCACCACAGACTGCATTGCTTGGCCTGGAAGGAGAGCACGGCCACATCATATTCAGCTGTGGCCAGAAAATATCTAAGAAAAGCTACGCAATCACACAGCCGGGAGATGCAGCTGACTCAAGCAGCAATTCCTCTCTGACAGACGATGAGACATGTACCCACAATGTAAGGAATAGGCAGTGCTTCAACAAGCAGTAGGATGAAGAAATGATGTACTTGATTAGATTCAAGTGCACAACTGAATGGGATCAACAGAAATGCATGCAGTTCAAACATCCTATACAAGATTTTAATCTCTTTCATTCCATGGAAGAGACAGTGCAAGTCACCATTAACAGTCCTTTAAACCTTCTGAGACATCCTGAGATACCCTTCCTTCTGCACTTGTTAGCAGTCTATTTCTCAATATCAACCCTGAATTTATTAAAGCAGCTATTCAAATGTCTTTGCAAATAATGCAAAATACTAATACTTCTTTGTTGCGTTTCATGAAACTTTATCTAAACATCATCAAACCACCTGCTTTTTTTGCACACAAGCTCCCTTTCTTCAGCACCATCACTTCACTGACATTATTACAGCATTCTCTGCTAGTAATAATTCTCTAGCTTAAACATAAGGAATGCTTATTTGTTAAACCTGTTGTATTTGTTCTTAGTAAGCTGTCCTAGAGAATACCCAGAATAACATCTCTGCATGTAACAAAACTGGTTTGTACTTAGTATTTACTGGTAGCACAAATACTTCTGAAGATATTCATCTGACGCAAAAAGCTTCACTGCAATTGTAAAATACTTTATTCTTGTATCTCAACAGTCACTCACATTCTACTGGAAAAGCTATTCCTTGTACAATTCCTGAGTAGATGCTATAGAGACAGTTACTTCTGAATAAAATGCCTTGCTGCAAATTTATTGCTGCTTAAATAAAAACCAAGAAGTTTACCCCTCATCTTCAAAATGCATTAAGACTTTTACTGCATTATTCACTCCAGGGTCTGTTCAATGAAAGACTTCCTGGCTGCAGCCACAACTGACACATGGAAGCACAAAATACACAAAAGAACAATGATGTTCAAAATCTACACTGAAATTCAAAATAAAGACTACCTAGTCACATGATTTTATTCTGTAATAAGAGACCTGACTTCATCTTGGACTTCACAGCTTTCAGTTACTGACAGCTACTAAAATACACTGCCAAACTGTTTTGCTGAGAGTAAGAGCTGAAAGCACCCTCTTACTGCAAATACAAAATGTTAGAAGAACAGTAGTTGCTCTGGATTTCTTAGCTTTCAGACTGATCAAATGTTCTTTCTCCAGAGACAAACACACACACACACACACAAATGTGTGTGTAAGCACAGATGTATGCATGTGAACACAGACGTATGTATGTACACGTGTGAATGCAGACGTATCTGTAGACACACACAAACAAATCTGTATTTCTGCAGCCCTAGTTCCACCTTCAGATGCTTTGCCTGAGAATTACCTGGTTTCTTGCTGGTTGAGGAGTTACCGTAACAGAGAGACCAGGACCTGCATACACCTCACTGGCAGTTCAAGATGTGAACATCTCATGACACATTTAAGCCCAGGAATCTCAGAGTGAAAACTCCCCCCACTGCAAGTGCAAGCCTATCACACGTAGTGAAAACAGAGAGCAGCACCACAACTCTGATGTTCAGCCACATCTGCCAAACGTGCCTAGCAGCCATGAGGCTTCCCTACCAAAGAAAACATGTTGAAACCAGTTGAGTTTTTGGAGTCTGGAAAACAGACAGAATTATTTCTTACTTTGGAAAAATAACTTTTCAGTATATTTCACATGACCCTCATCTCAATTCATACATCCCTTCTGACAAAAAAAGCGCATATGAAGTCTGACAGTGACTGCTTTTGCTTTACCTAAGCTGGAAATGAAGTGGAAGCAGACAGAACACTGACCTATAAATGTCAGTGATGGAAGAAGAGGAAAAAGGAAACAAAGCAGATAATTCACTCCATCAGAAAGACTTCAGAGCAGAAATGCAGGTAATAAATTGATAAAAGATAGCCTAAAACTATTTCTGTAAATATATTTTATGACAAAAAAGCTACTTCGGTATCAGATCATGTCTCAAAGTGAAACTGTTAAAGCAGGCTGTACGCACCTGCAAAGCAAACCAAAACTGAACGTTCTGTGAACAAGTGTGAATATACGAAAATTATGAAGGAGTGCTGCTACTGACTCAGAATGCTGAGTCTGAGAGGAGAAAGATGGTATTCAGACAAGAATCATCTCACAGTCTTACAGAATTTTTGTCATTTTTAATACAGGTTCAACAAAAACAGAATAAAAAGTAACAGTTCAAAAAGCCAACCCACAAGCAAGTTCTGTCTTGTTTTCCTGTTGGTTGGTTCTTGACAAATCATCTGGGGAGCAGTTACCATTTTAATGGCACTGTTTTACAGGAACTTCTTTTAAAACTTGTTTATATCCTGGGTTTAATGAGGAGGGAGGACGGGTTGTCACCACTAAGTACATCCCTATAATGACCACAAAGAGAATAAATAGCTGTTCAGGTAATGATCAATGAGGAGAAACACTGGTTCTTACCAACAAGGAGGGAACAATCCCTTAACAAGGCTGTAATCTAAATTTTTGGTAGAACTTAGCTTTCAATATAACTATGACAGACATGAGACCAGAATTCAAAAATTCATCACTGGCCACTTTGAGATTTTTAACACATACAGAGCCACAGAACAGACGGACACAATACATACCAGCATTGCCTTGTCCTTGTATCGCAGTGGTGATGGGTACTATGTGCGTTCCGTTCTGCGTTACAGTTTTTATGGGTAGCTGGTGTTGACCTAGAGGTGCCTGTTGCACTATAGTTACTGTCTGTAAGGGTGTGGTCTGAGATGTCTGAATGATACGACTAGCAGCTCCTATTGTAGCATGACTAATAGCAGGTATAGGCTCCACTTTAACTGAAAAAGAAAAGACAAAACATTGCTAATAACAAGAAAGTGTTAAAGAACCATTTATTTTGACTCAATCAACCCCCAGTGAAAACATATATTGTCTTATTACTAGCTCCAACATATCTAAGACATTATGATGCAAAAATCTTCAGTTTTAGCCAAATATGGCAGGTGTTCATATGGAAGAAAGTTTCAAATAATAACCCTGGTGTATAAAGGAGCTAACAAACCAACCCACCGCACAGGTTCTCACCTTTCACTTCCTTGTGGTCGCCATTCTCTTGAGGTTCTACCTTGGGCTGGGTTACCATTGCAGCTTGCGTGACTACTGCCTGTCCAGCTACAGTGTAAGTGTTTGCTGGTGCTAATCCAGTCACATTTGTGACAGACACAGCTGGTATCTGGTGGACAACATGAACTGTCTGAACTACAGGCTGCTGAGATGTTGATGTTGTCACAGGAGTTGCAACAGTGTAGGTGACAGGTTTAATAGTTTGTGGTAGCTGCCGTTGTACGGTAATTAAAACTGGTTGGCTAGATAGAGGTGATCCTACCAAGAAAGAGATAAAAATTAGGCTGCCAATTTTAATTATTTCTCTTAAGCCAGTCATTCTTTTAAACTTAACACTAAAACTTCAGAGGATTAACGACCTCCTTCACTAATACCTGAATGATCCAAAAGATAAAACCAGACAATGAAGATTATGACACATGGCTATTCCAAGCCACATATTCAAGGCAAGTGCTGTGTTAGCTCAGTAAGACCCATACACCATTTGGGCAAAAGCCACCCCCTGCCACCTTCCCCCCAGAGCAGCTGTACTACCAAAGCTATGTCTAATACTCATTTAGTAAAACTCCTTTCCTTGAAGTGTTTTGTAGAGCGTGTCTGCATTGGCAAAACTCAGCTTCACAGGCTGGGGAAAGCCTGGCATCTCTGTCTGCCTTTGTCACAGAATGGTCACTGGCACTTCTGCAGCACCAGAAAAATCACCAAGAAAATTGATGGCAAAAGTATATAAACTAAGGTAATTAAACAAATACATCCTTATCCCATCATAACTTATGCTCTTTTTTTTAAAATAGGAAAATTCTTATCACACAAATTTATTCTCTCTCTCTTTATCCTTTAAATTCATTTTATCCTCACCTTTGGAAGGATGACATGACCACAGATGTGTGGCAAGACATTTGCTTATTTCTGTAACCTATGTAACGTAAAGTTTCTGGTTTGTTTGTTTATTTTTCTAAACCAGAAAGAATATGTTTTGAAAGGAAGTGACAACAGTTACAAATCAGTACAGTCCTATTCCAGACAGAAGTACAATCTCTGCTTAGCAACGAAGTGACCAAGGTTGAGCACACAGACAACAGTCCATATGTGTGCAAACAGCATTTACCTGGCATGTTTACGTGTTTAGCAAAGTCTTGCTCTAAATGTTAAAAGGTTAACTATTTACCAGTTTTTTTGGTGTACATGTGAAGTCTTATAATATTTAGGTAATAGCCCTCTCCCACCTCCAACTCCCAAACGCTTACTTCAGGATTCCTCACCTGGGGCACTCTGTGCAAATCGCGCTTCTTGTATTACCGCTAGTTTTGGCTGGATAGCACTAGGCTCAGGTTCCATCGGGACTGGAGATCCTTCCCTGGACAGACTCTCGGGGGTCTGGACTCCACTGGAGTGTGCAGACAACACTCCAGAGTGATTAGGAGAAGCTGGGGCACTTCTGTATTTAAAAATTAAAGCAGCAGCTGATATGGTTTAACTTCTGAACTGTGAAAGCCAGTGACCTTCCACTAAAAAGACCATAACACACACTGCCCACAGGGGGGCACCTCTGCCTTCCGGCAAGAACAGTTAAACCAAAGCAGTTCTGACGATCTTTATAAAGCTTCTGTTAAAACAGGGACAGGATTTAAAGGCAAATGTCGGGTATAGTTAATGGAGAAGAAGTGGCTGGATGCCTTCTAGGGAGGGTCTCTTAAACAATCTGTGAAACATGAACATTTCTTCTGGTGGAGAAGAATGATGAGCAAATCTCAGTCTAGGGGGCAAGTAATAAAAGATCTGCACCAGCTGAAAGGCTGTAACTTTACAGAGGGAGTAATTTAAACTCACATTATTTCCCCACCATGAATGCTGCTTGAACATTATCAAACTAAATACATAATTGTCATCTCTGTCTGCAAATGCAGTAGATGGCAGTTAAAAAGTAGAATTACAGTTCTGTAAAAAAAAACAACCAACAAAAAACAAACAAAAAACAACAACAAAAAAAACCCCAACCAACCAAGGGCACAACAAGGCTTGCTTACATTAACCATCTGACAGTTAGTTATGCAAACTGAGTCAGTTCTTTAACGCTAAAAACAAGCAATAAAAACAAGCCTAATGCATGGGGCAGCCTCCTTGTAAACTATACAGAATTCAAATATTGAGTCTGGATGAAATTAAATCACTAAACTTGTGACTGTATCCAAAACTATCAAGTCCGTATCAGCCTGAAGATTAAACAACAGCCATAGTCTTTTTGTTCATCTGTTTTTCCTTACCTAGAAGAGAGTGGTCCCAGAGGGGTTCTAAAGCAAGGTACTCCCCTAGGCCGCCTTTTCCTAAAAGCCTGCTCTATTAATTTGCTTTCAGAGGCAGGGTCTATCCTCCAGAATGAGCCTTTGCCTGGTTCTTCCTGGGAACGTGGTACTTTGATGAAATAACGATTCAGAGAGAGATTGTGGCGTATTGAATTCTATGGAACATAAAAAAATATGTAGAATTCATATAATTTTTCCAAGTCAGAATGTGGCCTACTGCAGCAGTTTGTACTAAAGGAGACTCGGGGTTCAGCTCCTTAATGCCTTAATTCAACAGAACTCAGAGCACTGCAAAGGCAGTGCCATAAACCTGAAAGGACTCTTGCATTTTTCAAATCTTTCCCAACAATTAAAAAACCAGTATGCCAATGCAGCAATAACAGGAATCCCATTTAATTCTCTAATGAGAAACATGGTAAACTGTTAAACACTACAAATACTTGAGCATAATGCAGTGTTAAAAAAAAAAGGAAATAAGAAAAATTATCAGTCTTCACACACCACCCTTCCCCAGGTGTGAAAGAAAGTATCGGTTCACTGTAGGAGGGCCAGTAAAATACAGCATATACTGATTCTGGTCTTATAAGATAATCCTGTTAATGTTGCACAATATGGAAAGAAAAGGTTAAATCACACAAGTTCCACATGCAGTGAGATTGTTGGGAGTTCACCCACAGTCCAGTCTGTCTCAACAAAGGAGCCAAGGATTTAGTGTGTCTAGAAAAACAACAAATGGCAGTAGGTCCTAAAACAGCTCTCAGCCAGATTCACTCTAGCTCGTACACTACTTTATCCTCGCTTTGCTGTAACACACACGACTCTTCGATCAGAGCGATGTAGAACACTGCTAACACCCTAAAGTGACTGTATCTGTGCTGGGCTTTGCACACATGTAGTTTCTGGGGTTTTTTTTAAGATAGATAAACCTAAAAATATCTCTAAATATTACTGCTGAATGAGAAGAAAATGGTAAGCATACACACTTGTGGGATAACAGTGGGGAATAGAAAAGAAGCTTTATGTTAACAAAAGTTCTTCAAAATTTGCAAAATGAAATGCAAATCCTGCTCAAATGTCTGAGTTCATGACCCTGATGGCAAGTTTGGAAAACTTAAAGCAATGATAACCATGTATGGTTTCTTAAATGCAAAGTGATGAAACCAGAAATGGTTTTCCCTGCCAAAAATTGAAACAGAACTAGAAAGATGCCAAGAACATGTTTATAAATTGTATTTATTTCTCCATATGCTAGAATAAAAGGGTAGATCAAAAAGTACCTGCTAAAATAAGTTCACAAAGAGGAGTCTTCAAGTCCTCAACAAAATGAGACCTTTACATAATAAAGGATATAAATACCTCAAATACTGTCTATTTAGGTATAGGATCTGGATACTATACACATGTATATGTACTATATGTTTTGAATAATTCGTGCATATATAGCCTCAAATATGATTTCAAACATCTATAAGTTACTCTAACTCCAATCTAATACCTGATGGATAAAAGCGAGCAGAGCTATTACGAGGAAGGCTCATATGAGGTAGACCTGCTAATGTTATAGCAGTGCTTTATATAACTGAAGAGCATCTAATCTTCAGCTTTTCCAATTCTTTTTATGAATAGGTGCTAATTAATTATTCCAGAACATACTATGTCTGTTGTGTCTATCACCCTGGTTTTGTGAAGTAGTATCCATCTAAATACATACGCTGTTCTAAGGCAGAATTCTTTAACCATGCATTACAGTGTATGTGCATGTTTGGTTCCATGCTTTGGTTTGCTTACACAAAGAAATATAATACACACAGATATTCATGGTATTTCAGAATAGGAAGCAAAAAGCACACCACCATTTTATAAACAGAATCTTGTTGCTAAAACAGATCTGCTGTATGACTGCAGCCAGGATTCTGCATTGCATATGTGTGAAAGGGAAACAAAATTCTTAAAAGAGACTTCCTAACCACAACAGCCAAGTCCTTTACTAGCCAACCATTAGCAAAAAGCTAGGAACAGCTACATTCTCCATTAACCTTGGAATTCCTCTAAGAGTGATTCAAGTTTCATATAGGCCCTATGACAAATTAGTGTGTGATTAATATTTTACAACCTATTCCTCCACCGAGAAGGCACGTATTCTTTAGTGTTCTACTTGTACAGCATGTGGAGTTATTAACACTTCCTCACTTTTCCCCTCCCCCAGTCTCTCCAAATTTTACTTCCCTGAAAATAACTTCAGAGCATGCCTCTGCTGCGGATCATGACTGTACTAAGCAGCAACACAGTGAAACTGATACTCCGTGATCGACAGTGCAGTCTGAGCGTCACACGGACAAACCGGCCAGTCCTGCTAATTGTGCTCCTCTGTCCTTTGCTTGAAACTAAAAACAGCAGCAAAGGCATTGAACCTTTATGCGTATCTGGAAAGACTACGCCAGACTGATTCATGCTCGGTTAGTCATCCTGGCAGATGCTGAGGCTGGTCTCTTTAAAAATGAAAAGAAAGCTGAAATTAATTCTACAGAATTGAAGGGTTTGGTCTAAGTCAGTACAGAAAAGGTTAAGTTCACAAATAGACTATGTCACACAAATGAAAAAAGGTACATAATAGTGCAAGATAACGTCAGATAACACATTTGCTCCTTCACTGTATTGCATGGTCAAGATCACTGATCTCAAACAAAACTGAACCTGTAACATTTAATATCTAAATTTACTCTCACGATAGCAATACGGATGTTTACCCAATTGCAAGTTACAGAACACAACTAGGTTCCTAGATAGTATACGCATATTTAAATCCACAGTGCCAGTTGTACTTCTCTTCCCCAGAAGCCTGTATGCATCCCTCCTAAAGGTTTCGAGAACACCATTCCATGAATGAAGCAATGTTTCAAATACAGAATAATGCAAATTGCCTACTTTGTAGGAGAACTTACAATCAGGAAAGAGACAACACACCCATTTGACAAATTCTACTTATGAAGGGCTGTTAGGCTCACCAATTGACCTCTTCTGACCATTTACAGCTGCCAGTATTACTCACAACTAAAAAAAAAAAAAAAAACCAACATTCCAAAAATCAAATTTACCTGCCAGCCCTTGTCTGCTGTCCTGTAGTACGGGTAATTTTTAGTTATGTGCGTATAAATTCCATTTAGTGTAAGCTGCTTATCAGGTGCCATTGTAATTGCTTGTACTATTAACTGTGCATAGGAGTAAGGTGGCTTAGAGTCGTCCTGTATGAGAAAAAGAAAAAAGTCTGCATCAGTAAACTTTAAAGATAAATGCATCTCTTTCTAAATCAAGTTACAAAACACTGTTAACTTGATTTGAAACACTTTTGGATGACCAAAACCTTGAGGTGGAAAAGAAACTAAGATAAGTTTGCTCTTCAGATTATCAGATTTTAAGATAACATTACAAATTTGGAGAAACAACAGTAAAGAATTTTCAACAGCCTATAAACAGATACATAACTGAAAATACATACAGACCCTCCCCCAAAGGGAGGAGCAGTAAATAAACAAGTAAATAAATCTCACATCTGATCACTAAAACCTACAAATCGTTTTTACATCTGTAATGTTAAATTACGACTTAGCGCACACACTTCAGCAACCAAAATTTCAGAACTCTTACATTTACTTAAGATGTAATTTATGGGATTGATTTCAAACAACATTTACCTTTGGGCTATCTCCACCCGATGCTTCCTTGTCATTTTCTGACTGGGAATTGTCAGCCATTAAATGTAGGTCAGATGGTATTACACGACTCATTTTGTACCCTGAAGAGCCTGCACCACGGGGGCTAGATGGGCAGGAATTTGCAGCACTGTAGAACATAAAACGAAGATCCTACTATTTTGTTATACAGTATATCACCACATTATGTCTAATCAAAAAGCTCTTATTGCAGAAAAGCCCACAACCAGAGCTTCCAGACTACAGTTAAGGGGCTGTCAGTATTTCCATTATAAACCTCATCTTGCAAGCCTTTCTAACTCATCCATGGGAATTAAAATCACTGCAGGAAGAAACCTGTCAAATGAAGCTCAGGCTTCTCTCCTCAAAGGAAAAAGGATTAACTGATTTATTAGGTTATATTGTATTTGTGTAAGATTCGCCAATAGAAAAGTCCACTTTACCTACATAAGCAACCACAAATTTTAAGACAGTCATCTGAAACAAGAAACACATCTTGCATGAAATTTCTGCCATATGCTTGTATTTGGTCTGCTCAAAAAAGATCATCTCTCCTGTGCAGTATCTCTGCACATTTGAGAAAATATAGCGAGCTGTGAAGAAAAAAAAAAAGGGTTGATTCTCATTTAAATCTAAAACATCATTATTTTAAGTGTTTACAGATATGTGCACATATAAACACATATATACGTATAAAAATCATTAACCTGTCTATAAATGGGATTGATCAGTACTAATTTAACACAGCATAGGCCAGAGCAGATATACCATTACAAAGCAAAAAATAGTGTCAAATGAACAAAAGAGGCGGCTCTTGATAGCTCACGTTTTGCTATCCATCACAGAAAAACAAAGGTAAAATTGAATATAATTCCACTGTAACATCTTTCTAACGGTTGTCCCCCTGCCTTGCACAGTCCATAGGAACCACAGCTGCACAAAGCTGGTTTTCTTCTACAGTTTCTATTTAGCCAACAGGAAAGAGACAGTCAGTGGGTGATGTCAGTCTCCTTCCCCCAAAAAAAAATCTGGCAGCTCTCTACAAGGACACGAACTTCTCAGAAATTCATATTGTAACTGATTTCACCACAGTCCTCAGGAATTCGAAGTACTTAAATGGCAAAGCCAACTGTGCCTCCAGAGCTAGCCTCATCTCCGAAGACAATCCTTAACTGTACCTGAATCTATGGTTCAAAACGTCAAGTAACAAATAAAGCTAGAGAATGTTATTTAGATTTACACAATAAAGCCTTAACAAATTTACATCTGCCAAGTCTTGTCTGCCTGGCCTCTCACGTTTTTGGAACCTCCCTTTTTATGTACAGAAACAAGGCAGGCACTGTGGATTGGGCAATACATACATTAAAAAAAACATTCTTCAAGTTAAGTTTCACATCATGAGAAAACCAGCACCAACAATTTGCTACTAGTGATACATTACAGAACGGAGATGGGATTTTTGAAGTGTTGTATGGAAGAATCCTTGATTAAAGCCAAATCATGTAACTAATTTATTTTTTTAAATATAGGTCACTGCTGTTCTATGTTTTCACATATCAACTGACAATATCCCTCTACTGTGCTCACTTTAGCATATATTGACAAAGCAACACATATGGTATAATCAAAGCAAGTTTACAAGTCTTCTACAAAATAGGATGATTTGAAGAGAAACTGTCAAGCTTTGCTCTCAAAATAGACTCAAAACTGTCATCTTTTTTTTTTAATAATAAACTACACTCAACAGGTGCATGAAAGCTCTGAACAGAATTACAAAATTCGTAGTGAGGTAAGGACTGTGGTGATATATGTGATATTATCTGAAATATTTATGAGCTACTCTCTCATTTCTTGGGCAAGATATGCTTTCCCTGAATTTTAATAAGAAAGCAAACCTGTTATACAGTCACATCTAGAACTCTTTTCTCTCTACTTTCACCATTTATACAGATCTCATTAAACACTACAATACTGAGATCAAGATCTTGGCAAGCATGAAAGAAGTCAATTACCCTTACATTCAAATTTCATTAACAAGATCTACATTTTAAAAAATCAAGCATTAACAGACCTTCACTCAAGTAAAGACACAGGAAGTGGGGGGGGGGGGGAACTTCCAAAGTCGTGACTTTGAAACAAGTTTCAGTGCCTTTAAATGCAGTTTTTGCTCCTCAACTTTATACTAGAGTTGTAAAAAATGTATCTAAACTAAATTTCCCAGTCTGTGACCACAGTTTGCTTATGTTTAATTGAGTTTGGTCCCAAATAACAGGTCCAACAATGGCTACAATTACCAAACTAAGTAGCACAGCACATAGAAAACCCAGATTAACCTCCCCTGCGGAAAAAAAAATCCCTACACAAACCAGTGTAGGATGAGTTTAGAGAAAAACATCTGTTCACTTCCAGCAATGACAAATCTTCTGGAGCAAGAGATCAGTCTGTTTTTCACACTAACAATGACCAAAAACATTTTTTCTGATGATAAACTTCAGGGGGACAGTGACTATCAGACTGTTTAAAAATGGTATAATTTAGACTTAGCTCATTTAAAGTGCTACCATAAGCATGCAATAGTAAAAAGCAACTCAGATCACCTGGAATATAAGAAAAAGGTATGCTGCTTTGCTCTTTGAAGAATGCCAGGCTCCTAAGCAAACTGTTACACATATAATATATTGAATTGGAGTATTAAAGGCTGCCAATGTCTTCTTAGCAGAATGGTGACTTTATCCAAGGCAGGTTATGCTGAACTTCTACTAAACTTTTACCACAAAAGCAAGATCCTTACAATGAATTTGAAAGCTGTCTCAAGTCTGTAACCATGCACTGCCCTAAACCCAATCTGCAGGGTTTAAATACCTGATGGTTCCTGTGGGAGAAGGGAGAGGGCTGATCAGGTGAGCCATGTTGTCTGGAATGTTTATTGTTAGGGGAGAGATCTGGGGTTGCACAGGCTTCACTGGGGACTCCGGGGCCTCCTGTTTTTCTCTCTTTTCATTGGACAGAGCTGTGAATGTTATCTTGATGTTTGTGCTGGGAAACCTGAAAGTACAGCTGAAAAATAAAAAACAAATATATAAGCCACTTGTTTACAGAATGGACGATTTTCTGCATAAGTTGCACGTATCACCTACGCTTATTTAAAAATAAATAGGTACGGTATCTTGCATGTTACCTGTAACCACCTTTATCTTACAAATCATACAGAAAGATGTGACCAGAAAAAGATCCCCAACATGCAATTTTAAAACTTGGAAAGAAATAAAAGCAAATGCAATTCTTCACAACAAGGACAGTTTATGTGTTGTCTCTAAATTTCTTGAGGTTCATCCTAATCTTGCAACTACCCCTAAAAGCAGTAACACTGTTACTTTATGATGTCAAAGAATGGCTTCAGGAAAGGAACAAGTAGGCCTATGATATCAAGATTAATAAGGAGTATAAATGTTGATCAGTGTTCTGTCTACCCAGTTTCACAGACTGGTCTAACAAAGATTTGGTTTCTTTTACCTTAAAATACTTATTAAACTAAACATATCAATTCTAATTGTTATAATTTACAGAGCATATTGCTGTTGCAGTACTACCTTCAAATACCTTTTTTCAGAGCCGAGTTTAAGAGCCATTTTCAAGAAATTGCCCATTTTTGTATATTACTAAAGATTGCGTGCCCAAATTTAAATACTAACGATAAATTAACAATATGCAATTGTTTACAAATTTGGAAAATAAACCACAACTTTTAAAAAAATACTATTTCTACATCTCTGTACATAGCATTTAAAAGTTAACCCAGTTAAACAGAACAGGCTATTTACAAATTCTCCATAAATAGAGAGTGAGCAAACAAAAAACTTAATTTTCTCTCAACAAAGGCATCAATGAAAATGTCTCTTCCACTCCTCTTCCAAACGACGAAAAGGACTTTCTAATGACACAATACCCAGAAACAAACCTTAGAAAATGGTTTTGTTGTAAGTGATTCTAGGTGGATCTAGTTTTATAACGAAAGGAAACAAGAACACGCTGGAACAGGCCTAAGAAATGTAGCTATGAATACAAGATACAGACTGTAAACAAAAGTGATAATTTCTCTGGAAAAAAAATATTAAACATAAAGATGATGTAAGAATTGGAAGGAACACTCAGCTGTGGAGTAGCCTTAAAAACAAACTCTCATGTGATTTGGTTTTTGTTTCTTAAAATTATTCTAAGGATGTTTATAGGACAAAGAAAGCATTTGATTTTCACCGTGTTTCTTGCCACATGCACCACAGTGATTCTTCTTTCCTACAATACACAGCCAAGGATCAGGAAAAATAGAAAGAATCGACAATGACCTTCCTCTTCTCTCAGCCTCACTTCTCAGTATGGACCATGTCCGAATTTAACAGACGACCTATTTCTGAAACATGCCTAACGTACTAAATTAGGAACAGAATCTATGCCAAAAAACTGCACACGCATTTCAGTAAGAAAGTTAAACGGACTAGTTTCTGGGTTGGTTTTTTTTATTAATATCTTCCGTAACAACGAATTTCTTTGCTTTTTCCAGCAGAAAGTATTTTTTGCCTATATTGTTTTAGGGACAATTGAAAGAGGTCTCTCTCAGCTTTTTTGCTAATAAAAGATGTTCTCGAAGCATTTCAGTTAATCCGCACTACCAACACCACAACTCAAGTGTATACAGAGAGGGCAGTCAAAGGCACCTTTTTGTCAAAGATCAAATAAAAAATCACAACTGAAGACACAAGTACTAGAAACACGAAGGCATATAAAATGTATACGCAACAATTCCTCCAATATTCCATGTAAGGATGCATATTAAAACATCTCCATTCTTATGCTACTGCCCTGTGAGCACCTTTTGCAAAAAAAAATAAAAAATAAAAAAAAGGTAAAGGCAGCTCACTCAGATAAGAGTAAGCACAGATTTCCAAGTATAGCAGTGACAATACAGAATCCCAGACTGGCTGGGGTTGGAAGGGACCTCTGAAGATCAACCAGTTCAACCCCCTCGCCAGAGCAGGATCGCCCAGAGAAGGTCTCACAGGAACGCGTCCAGGAGAGTTGCTCGCAAATGTCCATCAAGTTTGAAAAAAAAAAAAAAAACCAACCCAAAACAAAAACCACCCCCAAAACCAGGAGCTCTGACTGACCAAAGGTACTGTACAGGTACAGTGTGCCAAACAAACTTGGAACTTAATATTCAGGAACCACATTAAAACCTAAAGGCTTCACTGTTAGTTTAAAACTTTTCACATGCTGAGCTCGGGAGGATGGCATTTTTAAGGAAGACACAATATGCTTATAAATCACTACTGGGTTACAACATGCAAAAGCCTGGATATTATCAAAATCTGTCAATTCTTATTTGTAAACAAAGTTTTTTTAACAGAAGCGTATTTTTAATAGCTGAACAAAAGCAGAATAAAAGAGTGTATCTTAACCAACTCGTTTTCTGAATAAATTGCATTAACTGAAACATATTCCATTTACTTCCAAAATCAAAGTAAGGAACGTGTTCTGATTTGATCAGAATCAAGTTGGTTTTGGCATATTCTTTAGTTATACAATGAACTAAACAAAACCCACAGCACACCCAGGGGAGAGACCTGATCAAACATTTAGTCTACAGCAAGCTGAGTGATTTTACTCACTGTTTAAAGTGTTTACAATAGTTTCATGATGTGCTACCACAGGACGGTTGCTACAGAGGAAACTCATCTATAGAACACACTTAAAGGAAAGAAAAACGAGTAGTTTTGCAAATGGACACTATATTTATCTGCTCAACTAACAGCTGTCCTGCCCTTATAGGATGATCCCATTTGGTGCAGGAAATCACACAGAGCCACCAAGATTGATCCAAAAGATTCCTAAAAACCAAACGTTTACAAAACATCCATGTTTAAACAGTTACAAGAAGCATGTTAGGTATCTAAGTGATGAAAACAAATAGCATTATTTGGCCGACATGCCAGTGTTGTATTTTATGTATTTCAAACTATGTGCAGTATCCACACTTCAACAGTTTTGTACGTGCATCAATTATGACGAGAACATTGTGACGAGTGCATTGTGCTCTCTACAGAGCATCGCAAAGGAGGACTCTGGGCAATCTAGGAAAGTGCAGCAGAGTTGTCACAACTAAAATGCAACTCATGATCCTAATTACTCTTTTTTTTTAAAGTTTATTCTGGGTTGACTACTGGAAAACAAACAAGAAGCATCAAATAATTTCAAACTACGCCCTAGAAAACTCTTACTATCTCTACAGCTCCCAGCAAAACAGAGATGTGCTGATCTAGGCACTACCTCTGAAGAGTTTAGCAACTTCACGGGGTACCAGGTAAGTGTCTTGTAGGAAAATTTGTAAAGTCTAGTTTTCCCACATCTGCATTTCTAGTATTTCCTCAGTTCCCCTCCGCAGTTCTGTCTGTACGGCAGGGAAAAAGGTTGGACTCAATTATCTTAAAGGCCTTTTCCAATCGAAACCATTCTATGATTTTATGACTCTGAGAAAAGTTAATTATACACTTGTAACTTGGCCTATATGAAAATATCATCTGATTGAAAATGAGGAATTCTGTCCTGACTCCACCTGGGGAGCTAAAACATAGAAGTAGCAATTCAATTTCCTCCCTGTACATAAACCCTGCTATGACTCTCCGTGCCTCAGTATCTTTTGATTTATTCTGTTTTAATTGTCTCCTGAGGACCAGGACAGATATTGGACAGAAGTTGCCATCCTACTGGTCTTTTTATCAGCACCTGCAGATTTTACATTCAAATAGATTACAGGAGTTCAGCACCAATAAACCCCTATGTCATGGTGGTTCCAACTGTATAGTTCAGTTCTTTTATACTGACTATGACACTGAACACCAACCACTTATCTTCAGCATCCCCCTATATTTTAAACAGATCTAAAACAACAACAGGGTGAGAGCTTTCAAACTCTTGTTGATTTACTAAGAGCCAAGAAGAGCTTCAAAAAGGTAAGACCCACAAAAAAGAAATCAGTCAACATTTCAGATATTGTTTTAGTCAATTTTCAATTTCAAATTCTTTAAATGCAAGCACAGGTAACACTGCAACCTAAAAGAGAAACTGCAGTAATTAACACAACCCCTACCGCTAAACAGACCTTTTTCAACTTAGGTTTTCTCAGACAGTACAGCAGGCTCAGACGATGCTATCCGGACTTCCTTCTCCTCCCCTATTTTGGTCAGTGAACTAACAAAAAACCATGGAAATCGCTGTACTTCTAGATGTGGCCTTTGTTCCACAGAAGAGAGATTTGAAACTAATCCCTTTTCTAATTCCTCTTACCTACCTACTTATGATGCACCTCCCAACTGGTCTTTTCTCACCACTCCAGTAAAAATGATCCCTACAGCCATTCATTAATTAATTTATTCATACTTCTAGTAGAAGATATGCACACTTTGAAGCCTAAGTCACCAGTAAGATACTACAGTGCACATTTCCAGGCCCACTTTTGATTCAATTGTATTTTAAGTCACATAAAAATTGGTCTTTTTACATAATTCAGATAGAGTCACAAAGAAACTGAGTTTGGAAGGGACCTCTGAAGGTCTCCAGCCCAGTCTCCTGCTAAAAGCAGGGTTAACTTCCAAGTCAGACCAGGTTGCTCAAGGCCTTGTCTAATCAAATTTTAAGCCTTCCAAGGATAGACAATACATTCCTGTAATTAGTCACTCTAAACGTGAAGGGGTCCTTCTCATTTGTCCAGGTAAAATTCCTTAGTTGAACTTGTTACAGCTGCTCATCCTCAAACTGTGAGCCTCTCGGCACAGCCCGGCTCCATCTTTTCTATAATCACCCTTTAGACAGGGGAAGACTGCAAATAAGATCAATCTCTGGGCTTCTCTAAGGAAAAGGGAAAGAAAGAAGGAAAAAAGGGAAAGAAAGAAGGAGAAAAGGGAAAGAAAGAAGGAGAAAAGGGAAAGAAAGAAGGAGAAAAGGGAAAAGGGACAAAACCCCAAATCCAAGGTTGTTTAGACTCTCCTCATATGCCATATGTGCCAGTTCCCTAAGCAACTCAGGAGCCCTCCCCTCACCTGTCCAGCTTGTCATCTGTTTGTATTGGGGTTGTCTCCCAAAACCACACACTGTTATCACCCAAACCAAGGCCAGCCTCCACTATAACAAGGGTGCACTGCTGCAACACATACAGCCTCCTCTCCCCCAGGACCCCCCAGTCCTCCTTTGCAGAGCTGCTCCAGTCACTCCCAGGCTTCACCCACTCCAGACGCAGCATTTCACAAGTGTCTTTGCCCCAGTTCAGCATTATCTGCAATGGGTACTCTCTGTCCCGTAGCCCAGGTCACTGACAAGAAACAGGACTGACCTCAGTGCCATTCTACCCAACACCTGTAAAGGACGTCTAAGAGCAGCATGCCAAAACAGGATGGCATTCAGGCACCCAGAGGAACATGGTACTTGGAAATTACGACTTCCTGTTAATGGGTACATTTCCATATGAAAGAAATATGACCATGATTTCACCTTTTCTCCATTTGCTGCTTCATTTATTATTGATTTAATTACAATGGATTATTAGGAAATTAATTCTAAATTAAACTAGATCTATCTATGGTTTTTTAAATCATTTTTTTTAAAAAGCACGGCTGGAAAGATGAGTCTTCACAAAAACAACTAGAAATACCACGGATGTAAAAAAGCTTTAAAGGTTGAAGTACAATTACATAAAATTTCAGTCTTTATAAAGTCTATGTAATGTGCCTTCATGTCTCAAAAAAGGTGTAAATCTAAAGGAAGTGCTGAGCTGGTTCCTCTCAGTTCAAACTGACAGACACAAAACACACAGAAACCTGTAAGAGGAGACGCGACTCCGTGTCTTGGAGATACCTGCAAGAAGTAACTTCTAGTAACCTGGAGAAGCGCCACAATTCCCACACCACGGATAAAGTGGCTGCTTCACTCAGCCTACTCTTTACCAAAAGAAAGAAATACATTTTCTAACTTCCTCTAACTTTTATAACAAAAGCTTTTTCATTGTTCAACACCAAGAGCGGGCATACTAAATTACTCACAGCCAGAGCTTATTTTTAAGACTTTGGGCTGTGTTTAATTGAACTGAAAGTCAACACTGCAGTCCATCTCCAGAACAGAATCATCATCTTTAGGCCTAAACAGAACCAACACAACCAAAACTTATTAAAAAGATAAACCAAGCTGCTTCAAAGCAGTCAAAACTTCAAGCTAATCTTCAAGTAATACAGATTTTTATCTGTTAGGTTTCAAACTAATAATGAAGGTAAATATATAAATCCATCCAAGTAGTCACAATATTAAATAGTCATCTAAAAATTCCCAGCACAAAATGATT